GGATTTTTTTTGTTGTTTTGTTTTTGTTTTTTGTAGCCCTGGCTAGTCTAGTCTTTATTTTTTTATTTTTTTTCAAAGTAAATATTTATAACCACTGCGCTTGTTTTTTTTTTTAATACTTATTTATTTATTTATTATGTATACAATATTCTGTCTGTGTGTATGTCTGCAGGCCAGAGGAGGGCACCAGACCTCATTACAGATGGTTGTGAGCCACCATGTGGTTGCTGGGAATTGAACTCAGGACCTTTGGAAGAGCAGGCAATGCTCTTAACCACTGAGCCATCTCTCCAGGCCTAGTCTAGTCTTTAACTCACAAAGATTCTCTTGCCTTTGCCTCCCAAGTGCTGGGATTAAAGGTGTGCAGTCACCACACCTGGCTGCAGCCTCAATTTAAAGGAAATGAAAATAAACTCAAATAGTCTCATTCTACCTTTGGTAACTGTTAGCTGAGCTTTTGGCCAATTTTCTAGATGGCCTTAAGAGGTCTCTTGCAGCTGTAGTTGCTCTCAGATATGGAGGAACTCCTGGAAATTACTGTCACAGTTCTTTCTAAAAGTGTCCCCTCATGGCACATTGAGAATATTTCAACCACCAGCCCACTGTGTCAAAAACTGCCATGGAATCCAGCGCACTCCTGGGATGTTGTCTCCCAGGCTCCTGATGGCCACAGAGGTGGCTAGCGCTCCTCACTAGCCCTGTCCTCTTCTCGGTCGGGTGCATCTGCCTCTTCTCCCCTCCCCCACCCCCTAGGATGCGGAAAGGAGAGCTGTTCGACTATCTCACGGAGAAGGTGGCCCTCTCAGAAAAGGAAACCAGGTACTGGTAGAGCCTAATGCCCCTGGGATGGACAGGGGAGTGGTACAGGGAGAGACAGGAGTCTGTTCCTCGCCAGGGCCATCATGAGGTCTCTGCTGGAGGCCGTGAGCTTTCTTCATGCCAACAACATTGTCCACCGAGACCTGAAGCCCGAGAATATTCTCCTAGATGACAACATGCAGATCCGCCTTTCCGACTTTGGATTCTCCTGCCATTTGGAACCTGGCGAAAAGCTTCGAGGTGAGGGGACCAGGTGCCTTAGACTTGGGGGGGGGAGGACCCATGCTTGGGAATGGAGTCCCAGATGCCAAGGCTTTGGGCAACTCAGTGGACGTCTTTACCTTGGAGAATGGAGATGGATAAGCAGAGGACTATGCCAAGGAAACTAGAAGGAACACTGTTCAATCTGAGGGATCCACAGAGGAGGGGGCTCCAGAGCTGGCCTTTGTCCTAGGAGGAAAGAGTAGGGCTAGAAGGGCCCAGCAGTTTGTTTGAAACGTGGATAAAGCAAGAGCTCTGTGTGGTGCTTCGGTGCTGTGCGGAGCCTGGTGTATCCAGCCAGCCTTGGGTGACATCTCCCCTGGGGCCCCTGATGCTGTGCATTCACTGTGATAAGAATGTATCTGGGGCCGGGAAGAGGGTCCAGTGGAGAGAGCGTTTGCTGTTCGAGTCTGAGGACCAGAGTTTGGATGCCAGCAACCACGGGATAGCAGCATGCAGGAGGCAGGGAGACGGGATAGCAGCATGTAGGAGGCAGGGAGCAACCATACGATACCAGCATGTAAGAGGCAGGAAGCAACCGTGGGATAGCAGCATGTAGGAGGCAGGGAGATGGGATAGCAGCATGCAGGAGGCAGGGAGATGGGATAGCAGCATGCAGGAGGCAGGGAGACGGGTTACCAGCATGCAGGAGGCAGGGAGCAGGGATCCTTGGGGTAAACTGGCTAATTAGGTGATCTCAGTCAGTGACGCTTTGGGCTCAACTGAGAGTCTTGCCCAAATACATAAAGTAGAAAACATTCGCGGAAAGCATTGGGCCTACACATGTGTCACACACAAGCATTTCTAATACAGATGGAAAACTTTTTTTTTGTTTTTGTTTTTTCGAGACAGGGTTTCTCTGTGGCTTTGGAGCCTGTCCTGGAACTAGCTCTGTAGACCAGGCTGGTCTCGAACTCACAGAGATCCGCCTGCCTCTGCCTCCCAGTGCTGGGATTAAAGGTGTGCGCCACCATCGCCCGGCCCAGATGGAAAACTTTAAGCAAATTCAAATCTAAGAATTCCAAGAGCTATTCATAACCTTTATGGTTTTATGCTGCACATACTAATAGCTTTCAAGTAATGGGCATTAGGGGCTGGGGAGATGGCTCAGAGGTTGCTCTTCCAAAGGTCTTGAATTCAATTCCCAGCAACCACATGGTGGCTCACACCATCTGTAATGACCTCTGGTGCCCTCTTCTGGCCTGCAGAACACTGTATATGTAGTAAATAAATCTTTAAACAAACAAAAAAAAAAATGGGCATTTACCATGGGCAGGTGCCACACCAAACCTCTATGCTGTGATTTATTTCCATGTCTTCTCAGCAGTGACCAGAGATGAGTAGTGTAAGGTGCCTTAGAACTAGACATGGAAACATGGAATACCTTGCCCATACTGCTCCCCGATTTTGCACCTGGGCATCCCGACTTTACCTTGAGGTGCTGTGCTCCATTTACCTTTGGGCTTCCACACACTCATCTTTGGAACCCTTTGCCCTGCCTGCCTCACCCCCTTTCTTGGCCTGAGTGATGCAGATCTCACTTTCAGCCTCCACTCAGGGAGGCTCCCCTGCTTTTTGTATTTTCCTGATCACATGACTTACACTGTTACTTCTTCCTTGCTTCCTGGAAGATAGTTAGCTTGGGAAAGGTAATCCACCTCGTGACCGTCTAATAGAGCTCTCTTAGTAGATACTACATAGTCAAATACTTGCATTCCCAGTTTTTTTCAATTTAGGCTTATTAAGTTTTCTTGGAAGTACAACATGAAATAGTTTGGAATTTCTGAAATCAAAGAATTGGTACCCTTGAGTGGTAAAAAGAAACTAAAAATACAGATTTGTTTCAAGTGATGGAGGAACGGAGCCTTGGTCCTCATGCCATGATAGAAAACCAAGGAAGGGTTTTTGTGGGGTCTTTGTTTTGAGACAGGGACTCTCTCTGGAGCCCTGTCTGTCCTGGAACTAGCTCTGTAGATCAGCATAGCACATGTGGACCGTACCCAACTGAAGGATAAACTTTAAACAGGGACCATCCCAGTATATGCTTTAAGAAATTCCGGCTTGGGCTGGAGAGATGGCTCAGAGGTTAAGAGCATTGCCTGCTCTTCCAAAGGTCCTGAGTTCAATTCCCAGCAACCACATGGTGGCTCACAACTATCTGTAATGGGGTCTGGTGCCCTCTTCTGGCCTGCAGGCATACACACAGACAGAATATTGCATAATAAATAATAAATAAATAAATAAATAAATAAATAAGTAAATAAATAGAAATTCTGGCATGTGCTGGACATGGTGGTGCGCTCCTTCAATGCAAGCACTCAGGAAGCAAAGGCAGACAGATCTGAGTCTGACTTAGTTCTCAGCCAGTCAAGGCTACATAGTGAGATCCAGTCTGAAGGAAAGAAAAGTTCCAGGCCGGGATGGAGCTCAGTGTTAGAATACTTGATTAGTATGTGTGAAAACCCAGGCACTAGAAGAAAAAAAAATCTTTTCAAATTGAAGAGACCCAAAAAGAACCCCAAATTTTTATTTGTTCTCCTTTGGCTGAATGGTGGTACTACTCACCAGAATGCACCCTGGGAAAGGGAGAGTAGGCTTGGCAGAAAGTAATGCAGCAAAACTTTGACTTTTACTTTTCACGTGTATTATGTATCTAATAACATGGCACGAGTTGTCCTGATGAATGGGTAATTTGGCTTGGCTTCAGGAGGTAAATGATGTGGTTGTCATTCCCAACTGGGCATTCCTGGGATGGCCACTGTGAGCTTTGGTGGGAATGTGAGCTGGTTAGCTAGGGTCATGGTCTTGCTCTGCGGCTCCGCGGGGAACAGGAGCAGATAGGGAGCACGTGTGAGCAGGCTCTGGTATGCAGGGCTCCGGAGGGGTCTAAGACCATTCCCTCTCTCCCCAGAGCTGTGTGGGACCCCCGGGTATGCAGGGCTGCAGAGGGGTCTAGCGGCATTCTCTCCCTCTCTCCCTAGAGCTGTGTGGGACCCCCGGGTATCTAGCACCAGAGATCCTTAAATGCTCCATGGATGAAACCCACCCAGGCTACGGCAAAGAAGTCGACCTGTGAGTTCTGTCCTCCCCTCCCCTTCTGTGTCTCATTCTTGCTTGTTACCTAGGCCAGTCTAACTATGGTCTCATTTTCAGCTGGGCTTGTGGGGTGATCTTGTTCACACTTCTGGCTGGCTCGCCACCATTCTGGCACCGGCGCCAAATTCTGATGCTACGTATGATCATGGAAGGGCAATACCAATTTAGTTCTCCCGAGTGGGATGACCGCTCCGACACCGTCAAGGACCTGGTGAGTAGCGGCCATGAGAGCGAGCCCCTAGGGAAGACCCAAGAGCTGTCTCTCATGCTGTGAGGTTTCTCTAGATCTCAAAGCTGCTACAGGTGAATCCTGAGGAGCGCCTGACAGCTGAGCAAGCCCTGCAGCACCCCTTCTTTGAGCGCTGCGAAGGCAGCCAACCCTGGAACCTCACACCTCGCCAAAAGTTCCGGGTAAGCCAAGGAGTGGTGGGGTCTGCACCTGGGCTTTGCCCTGTGCCGGATGCTCCATTGGGGTGAATACTGTCCCTTTTCCCAGGTGGCAGTGTGGACAATCCTGGCTGCTGGACGAGTGGCACTGAGCACCAACCGCTTACGGCCACTGACCAAGACTGCACTGTTGGGAGACCCCTACGCACTGAGGCCAGTGCGGCGCCTCATCGACAACTGTGCCTTCCGGCTCTACGGGCACTGGGTGAAGAAGGGGGAGCAGCAGAACCGCGCAGCCCTCTTCCAGCACCAGCCTCCTAGGCTGTTCCCCGCCTTGGCCACTGAAGAAGAAGGGGACTCCAACACTATCACAGAGGACGAGGCTGCGCTGGTGCTGGGCTAGAACCTCATCCCTGGCAAGCTAGAAAGCAGGACTCTCCAGGAGGAGATTTTTTTTTTTTTTTTTTTTTTTTATCATTCCAGACTGTTGGGACTCAGACCTGAGCCCTGCCTTGCCAAGCCTACCACTGCTATCACTGGACTGCTACCACTACTACTTATCCTGGACTTGGAGATGGGGCTCACTGAGATGGAAGGGAACCTCTTCCAGAGTTGTGCCAGGCCTGGTCATCGCTGTCTGTGCTGCATCTGAAATAAAACTGCTACAAGCCTGGGAGAGCCGGTGCCCGTGTCCGCTGTCTGGTTGCATCGGGGAGCACAGAAGGTGCTCATGAAGGTGGGGGATGGGATGCTCTGGCCCAGGTCTTTATTGGAGAAGATGTTGGGGATCACTTGGTCTTGGTCTTGCCTTTGCTGGGAGGTGGCTGGTAGGGCCGCTCCAGGGCAGCCAGTTTGCTGCTCAGTCTTTCCTCGCTCTCCTTGAGCCGCTCCTCCACCAGCTGCTGCAGCTGCCTCAGCTCCTTGCTCAGCTGTGTCTTGATGTAGGTTTGAAGGATGCACACCTCGCCTACGGGGGAGAGAGGAAGGACAGGAGAGCTGGGAAATCTGGGATGAGCTGTGCAGAGTGGCGCTGTAACTTAGGAACTGTCAGCCGTCGCTCTGAGACAGATGGCTGGGCAGAGTGGCCAAACTACACTTTCTGGATTCAGATCCTGACTACTTTCGTTTGACATCAGGCAGCCCATCCATCAGCTTCTTAATGAAAAACATGGATGGTAGCAATTCCTTGACTATAGGATTGAGTTGATAGGCACAGCAGCGTGTTTAAAACGGGGGCTCCTGGGACCTAGTACTACCAGAGCTGTACTTGCCTTTGTCAACCACTCCCCCATCACTCTCTTTCAGGGGCCACCTTTCCTATGCATAGCAACACCCCACTGTTGTCTGAACTTTTGTATAATGAGTTTGTATAAGAATTGGAGACATGGGGCCGGAGAAATGGCTCAGTGGTTAAAGGGACTAACTGCTCTTCCATAGAATCTGGGTTCAGTTCTCAGCACCCACATGGTGCTCACAACCGGGGCATTCAGACCTCTTCTGATCTCTGGGAACTGCACACATGTGGTGCACATGTAAGCAAAAGTCCCAAACAAATAAAAATAAATAAATCTGAAAAAATTTTAGGGGACACTAGAACTAAAACTTAAGTCCTGAGCTGCATATGCTGGAGCCCTCTACAACCCCATCACTCAGGCTGGACAGAGGGATCATTAGTTCACAGCCAGCCTGGGCTACACAGCAAGACCTTGTTTCAAAAAAAATAAATAAAATAAAATAAAACAAGCATTGATGGATGGTTCAGTGGGTAAAAGAGCTTGCTGTGCAAGCCTGCCAACCTGGGTTTGAGCCTCAGAACCCACACGAAGGTGGAAGAACTGACTCCCAAATTCTCTGGGTTCCACACACTCTCATTCTGTCTCCAATAAAACAAGGGACTGGAGAGATGGCTCAGCAGTTGAGAGGCAGGAGGATCTCCAGGAGTTTGAGGCCAGCATGGTCTACATAAGTTCCAGAACAGGCAGGACTTTTGAGACCCTGTCTCAAAAAAGGGTGGGGTGTGGGCTGAGGATACAGTTAGTGGTGAAAGCGAATGCAAATGCCGCTCATTTTGTTCCCCAGTATTACAAAACAAAACAAATCAGCAGGGGGAAGGGGGGGGACACGAAGACTCAAAGAGACCCAAACCCTTCATTCAACCTTGATGGAGTCCCAGGGCTCCCAGGGCACCTCAACCCCTGACAGTGCTCACTTGGCTGTTGCTCTGGCTGGATCTCAGTCTCTGGTTCTTGCTCCTGTGGAGTAGCTGCTTGTTCCACTGCCTCCTCGCCCTCTTTCTCTGCAAACCAGAAGCGGGAAGAGGCCTTAGTCCCAGCCCTGGCCTAGTCCCAGCCTGGTTCATCTGTGCCCATCTTACCCTCTGACTTAGGTAGCTGTAGCCCCATGTAAGTCAAAGATAGGTCCAGCCGAACCTGGGGAGACACAGGAAGGAGGAGGCTGAGAAGACAGCACCTACCGTAAGAGGAAGGTGGAGACAGGTGGCCTCACTGCCCCGTACACAGTACCTGGGGTGTGAAGACGTATTTGTAGAGCTTGAAGTGGCGGAAGTAGGTGTTGACCACATAGTCTGCCAGTGCCAGCAGCTGTTCCTCCTTAAAGAGGTCGATGCTGAACGGAGGCCGCTGTGACGGCAGTTAGGAGTTAGCACCCTGGCAGCCTCCAGAAGTTCAGCACTCTAGAATCAGGACAGACCTCAGGGGGCCTTTAGAGGAGAGGAGGATGGTGGTAGGAGAGAACAGGAATTTGGGCTAGATCTTACCCTGACTCCATGGCAAAAGAGAACGCTGGTAAAGTAGCGGTAACATTCCTCCACATTGCCCAAAGGGGTGGCTGGAAGGAAACCAGGAGTGGCAGTCAGGCCCTTCTACCCCAGTAAGGCCTGGCTTCTTCTCACTGTACACTTCCCTAGGCACTGAACAAGACAGACAAGGTCCTTCCCTCCTTCCCGAGGTTTAGCTTTGTTTCTGGGACAGCATTTCATTCATTTAGACTAGACTGAAATGCACTGTGTAACTCATGCCAGCCTCAAACTAATGACACTGCTCCTGCCTCGGCCTCTGAGCACAGGGCTTTCAGGCTTGGGCCCACCATACCACCTGCAGGAAGGCTACTCTGTTCTTTTTTTTTTTTTTTCTTCGAGACAGGGTTTCTCTGTAGCTTTGGTGCCCGTCCCAGAACTAGCTCTTGTAGACCAGGCTGGCCTCGAGCTCCCAGAGATCCGCCTGCCTCTGCCTCCTGAGTGCAGGGATTAGAGGCCTGGGCCACCACCGCCCCGGCACTACTCTGTTCTTGTGATCTTGAGATTTCCTGTTGCCCAGGATAGCCTTGAACTGAGGATGACCTTGAACTTCTGATTTTCCTGCCCCTACTTCCCAAGTGCTGGGGTGAGAGGTGTGTAATGACTTCGACAGTGCTGGAATTGGACCCAGGGTTTGTGTATACGAGATAAGGGTTCTCCTAACTTTTTATCTCTTTCTTAGAACAGACCCGCATCATCAGTACCACGTGTTTCATCTACTGATAAGGAAACAGATCTCAAAGGTGATGAAAATGTGGTGCTATGATACTAGTTATGGTGAGCCAAAAATCCCAGATTACGGTCTCCCTGCTTCCGCTTCCCACAGTCACGTGTGCTAGCCCAGCCTCCTCTCCTGGGGCTCAGAGCTTGGTGGCTGCCTCCCTCTCACCAATACAGGCCTTGTGAAGATCTTGGAGCAAGGCACAAGCTGCTGAGGTCTGCTCTAGTGAAAAGCCCTGCTCGCGGCAGAAGATGAGTGCATAGGAAAAGAGGTCCAAGATAACAGCATCCCGTAGGCTCTGTTCAGGATAGCCAAGCTCCAGGAGCTCAGCTAGCACCCTTGGGGTGAAGAGGAAGGAATGAGTAAGGCTGTGAGCTCTCCCCACCCTGCCCTTAGGGTTTATTTCTATTATATGGGGATGGGCATTTTGTCTGCATTGTGTGTATTGCGTACCACATATTTGTTTGGTGCCAGGGAGGCCAGCAGAGGATGTTTGATCCTTGGGAACTGGAATTACAGACCATATGGGTGCTGGGAACCAAACCTGGGTCCTTTACAAGAATGGCCAGTGCTCTTAACCACTGAGCTGCCTCTGCAGCCCTAGACACAGCCTCCTCTCCGTCAGCTCACTCTGTGTCTTCCCTCCCAAAGGGTCCTGTCTCTCCCAACACAAACCCATACTCTCTCATCTCTTCCACAGTGGCTGCCTTCTCCAGTCTGTGCATAGAATGGAGGTCCAGGTATTTCCTGTCAGGAAAAGATGAGACAAATCATTGATGGCTCGTGTAACTTTCTGATGGGGCATCAGACTGGGAATCAGGACTTGAGGCTTAACTAACATATTAACTACCCTTTGGCAAAATGGGCCTCACTTCCACTGTAAATGAGGACTATCGTGGTCTAGGATCTAGACTCTAGATGAACCCTCAGGAGACCTTTTATTTATAAATCTAATAGTCAGAAAACTTGAGTTTGCTGGGCGGTGGGGGTGCATGCCTTTAATTCCAGCACTCAGAAGGCAGAGAAAGGTGGATCTGAGTTTGAGATCAGCCTGGTCTACAGAGCAAGGTCCAGGACAAGCTCCAAAGCTACAGAGTAACTCTGTCGCGGGAAAAAAAAAAAAAAAAAAAAAAAGGAAGGAAGGAAGGGAAAGAAAGAAAGAAAGAAGAAAAAGAAAGTGTGAATTATTGTTTTGCTGTGTGTGACCATGGTGAAGTCCCCCAGGGTCTTGGCATCAATCTGCACAGCGCTCTATCCTGTTTGCATGCACCAGCCTGTCTGTCTGTCTTCTCACACCGCCACTTTGGAACACCGGTGACTTGGTCACCTTGAGCATCGCTCTGCTCTGTCTCTTCATCTGTAAAATTGGGGTGCCCTGGCTGCTGGACAAGACTGTTGGGGAGACCTTAAAGGAATAATACAAATGAGAACTGTAATTTCCCCCCAGGGCTCTCCACACTCACCACATACAGATCCGGGGCTGGGGTAGAGGTGGCTGTGGAGAGAAAACAGATAAACGGGAAGAAGAGCTATTACAGTATGTGGCTCCTCATCCTGGTCCGTGAATGCTATAATTTTATGTATAGTAAAGGGGGCGAGGCTGGAATTTGGAGGGCTCTAAATACTATTTAGTAGCCTATTAACAAGGCAACTCCAGAAATATCTCGAACGTTGGTAAATGTAATGACTGGAGGCGCCTTACCGGGAACTCTTTTATAAATATTCACTAGTGGACAACTCTGTCCGGCCCTCACCGGGAACAAGTTGGCTCCGGGATCTTCAGGCACTTCCACAGAGGTGGTGGCCGCTGCGTCAGACTCAGACATCACGTCTGTTTCAGTCCTCATGGCCACTTCACACACCGAGCTGGGACACCTCTCCAGTTCCTGCTGCATTTGGGGGAGCTGTTCAGATTCCGGCTGCATCTTAACTCCCAGGTTCTGGCTGGATTGGGGGCTGATCATCTCTTTGTCCTTCTGAGCCATTTGTCAAGCGCTCTCCCGTCCGGGCTCTGGGAAAGCCAGCTCTACCACTGCAATGCCCGGACCTGTCCCTTCTAATGGTTCTCCGCCGGCGATGAAGACAGAGGCAGCCAATCCGCAGTGGGCGTCTTCCCAATCTAGTCTCCCCGGTGACCGTTGTTAAGGAAAGTAGAAAGTACAAGCACACGCCAATCATTGAGAAGATAGAGCGCATGCGTAACAAGTTACACGTGCCTCTTCAAAGTTGCTTATGGGATGGGGGATCGCTGTTTTTAAATACTGAATTAAAAAGAAATTTGTGTGTGTGTGCGCGCGCGTGTTCGCGTGCGTGTGTTCCTGTGCGGGTGCGTAGGACGTTCGCGGATGTCCACGGAGGCCAGAAGAGGGCGACGGATCACCTGGATCTGGAGTTACAGACTGTCGTGAACCCGGGCTCCTGGATGGCTGTAAAGGCTCCAATTGCAGGTCCACCTCTCCATCTCCTGGGCTGCAAAGTGCAACTGCGGTGTCAGTAACTATGGGAACAGTCTACTGGCCAATCATTGAGAGATATACAATCGATCGCGAAAAAGACCTAAAAGACTCAAGAGGCGGAACCAAGAGCCTCCAATAGAAACAGGAAATAAGTTTCGCCACATCCGGAGCTGCTCTGACGCCTGCGCTGTGCGTCTGGCGGCCGGTGACGTCCGGTGAAGTCCAAGATGGTGGCGGTCGGCTGACCCTACCGTGGGTGCGGACACTGGGCCAGCGGGGGCGGGGTCCGGCTGGTGTGCCCAGCGGGACGCTCGGGGCTCCGGGGCTCCGGGCGCCTCCGTAGCTCTGCTCTCTGTTTTCTGCAGGTGACGGAAGTGCTGCCTCCGCCCGCCTGTCGGCCCCGGGGAGCCCCGAGCTGCCCCGCCGCCACCGCCGCTATGTCTGGCCTCAGCAACAAGCGCGCCGCCGGCGACGGGGGCTCAGGACCCCCAGAGAAGAAGCTGAACCGCGAGGAGAAGACCACGACCACTCTGATCGAGCCCATTCGTCTTGGGGGCATCTCTTCCACGGTTGGTGGGCTTTGGCTAAGATCACGTTTGGCGTCAGTCCAAAGCGTTCAGAATCTTGTGTGTGCACGTGTGTGTGTATATACACAAAACGGGGGGGGGGGGGGGGGGGGGGGGGGGGGGGGGGGGGCTCTGGGAAGGGGGGTGAGGGGGGGGGGGGGGAGGGGGGATGGGAGGGGGGGGGGGGGGGGGGGGGGGGGTGGGCGTGCCATGGCGCGCGTGTGAGCAGAGGACAGCTTTATAGAGTCGTTCTTTCCTTCCACTCAATGCTTTAATGTGTTCCCATCAGTCCTGCGATTTATCAAAAACTTCAGTTAGACAATGTTAGTGGTAGAAACAGAATGAGAAGCACTCATGACCAAAATATTTTCTCTGTATGTTCCCGAGTCTTTATAAATTTCACTGGTTGCTAGACTTCGTATATACCTCCTTTTCAATCTACTTATCTTCCCTTGTCTCTGTGACGGTTCAAGACCCTGTCTAACACTCCTCTTCCCCCGCGGTAGGAGGAGATGGATTCCAAGGTGCTGCAGTTCAAGAACAAGAAGCTGGCAGAGCGGCTGGAGCAGCGGCAAGCCTGTGAGGACGAGCTCCGAGAGAGGATTGAGAAACTGGAAAAGAGGCAGGCCACTGATGACGCCACGCTCCTCATCGTCAACCGCTACTGGGCCCAGGTGGGTACCCGAAAACCGCCCTGTTGGGAAAGGCACCGAAGCGTTCATAACCTCTTCGTTGCTTTCTTCTTTCAGCTGGATGAAACTGTAGAAGCTCTTCTCAGGTGCCATGAGCGCCAGAGGGAGCTGTCTTCAGGATCAGAGGCGCCTGGGTGCCAGGAGGGGCTAACCCGCGATGTGATCCCTCGAACAGACCCAGGGACATCAGATCTGAGGGGTAAGATCAGAGCCCTGGGGACCTTAATTTCTGAGAAAAGTCTCGAGGAGGTGGCTTTGACGTTGGTCCCTGAAATGCCTACCCCCACCCCCACAACTGTTTTTATTTATTTATTTATTTATTTGGTATACAATATTCTGTCTGTGTGTATGCCTGCAGGCCAGAAGAGGCACCAGACCCCATTACAGATGGTTGTGAGCCATCATGTGGTTGCTGGGAATTGAACTCAGGACCTTTGGAAGAGCAGGCAATGCTCTTAACCTTTGAGTCATCTCTCCAGCCCCCCCCCCCTTACAACTGTTTAAAAGTTGAATTCATACCAGATGTGATGATACACACCTTTTTTTTGTTTGTTGTGTTTTGTTTTTCGGGACAGGGTAAGAGCCTTAGCTGTCCTGGAGCTAGCTCTTTTAGACCAGGCTGGCCTTGAACTCACAGAGATCCGCCTACCTCTGCCTCCTGTGTGCTGGGATTAAAGGCACAGCACCTAGCTAAGTGGAGCACACCTTTAATCCCAGCACTCAGAGGCAGAAGCTGGTGGCTCTCTTCTAGAGTTCCAGGCCAGTCGTGGCCATATAGCTACATAGTGAGACTCTGTCTCAAAAACATTATGGTGAATAAGAACAAAATTTTGGAATCTACCTGACTTTTCATAATCCAAGCACTCTAGACATAGAGTCAGGGGCTCTCTAATGTTTGTTTGTTTTTCTAATTTATTATTTATTTATTTATGGTCTTTTGAGGCAGAGTCTATGTCACCCTGGCTGTCCTGTCACTCCATCTGTAGACCAGGTGGGCCTCAAACTCAGAGATCCTCTTGCCTCTGCCTTCTGAGTGCTAGAATTAAAAGCGTGCACCGCCACTCTGTTTAAAAAAAAAAAAAAAAACTGAACTGGGCACTTGTGCTTAGCAATCTTAAACACATCACAGATAAAAAATTAAAATATAAAATAAAAATAAGTACTCTGTAGTAATTATGGGTTTAGAGGGATCAGAAGTAAGCAGAAAGAAGTATATTCTTGCCATAAAGAATAACTACATAAACTATAGTAAGTAAAACATATTAGGCTGGAGAAATGGCCGAGCGGTTAAGAGTACTGCATGCTCTTCCAAAGGTTCCAAAGGTCCTGAGTTCAATAATTCCCAGCCAACCATCTGTAATGAATTCTGGTGCCCTCTTGAGGAAGAGACCTGGTCATCAACTTAGACCATGAAGCCCAGTATGGACAAGTTCAGCAGAACAGCTGTCAAGGCTGCCCATGCTTCAGCATTGCCAGGGCATAGATGTCATTCTTTTTTTCAAATAAAAAGTATTCGGACTGCTGAAAAGAAATAAATGTTGTGGAAGGCTGGGTTCTACTTTAGGTTGGGAAGGGAAAGGGGATTTCTCTGAGGATGTGATACTGGTGATCTTTAGGAAAATTAGCTATTGTTAGGCATGGTGCCCGCCTTTAATTCCAGCGGCTGGGCTCAGAGGCAGCTGGATCTCTGTGTGTTTGAGTGAGGCCAGAGCTATATAATAAGATTTTGTTCTCTCTCAAAAAAGAAAAAAAAAAAAAAGAAAATTTGTTATTTAAATTTTAGGTATCTCGGCTGGGCAGTGGTGGCACATGCCTTTAATCCCAGCAGAGGCGGGCGGATCTCTGTGAGTTCGAGGCTAGCCTGGTCTACAAGAGCTAGTTACAAGACAGGCTCCAAAGCTACAGAGAAATCCTGTCTCGAACAAATAAACAAAAAGAAAATAAATAAATTTTCGGTATCTCCCTGTCAAGGTGGGACTAGAGTACACTGCAGGTTGTACTAACTAGGTTAGCCCTGGGAGTAAAGAGCTCAACTGGGACTTGGTGCAGTTTGCTGGTCACTGCCGCCTTTATTCCTATGGGGGTTGTCTGTCCCTTCCAGAACCCCTGCCAATGCAGTTTCGAACCCCTCTCAGTGAGCCAGCCTTGGCTTTTGTGGTGGCACTGGGTGCCAGCAGCAGTGAAGAGGTGGAGCTGCAGCTGCAGGGACGCATGGAGTTCTCCAAGGCTGCCGTGTCTCGGGTGGTAGAGGCCTCGGACTGCCTACAGCGTCAGGTGGAAGAACTCTGCCAGCGAGTATACAGCCGGGGTGAGTTCTTCAGACGCAGTCCTAGAGAAGGCCACTCCCCACCTGCATCTCGAGGAGGCCCCCTCCCTAATCTCAGTAATTCCTGGAGATCAGAGTTCCCAGTGAATAGTCAGCCTTGTTCTTGTTGGAACAACTTAGTTCCAGGTGAGGACTCGAATTTGATTCCTGAAGTGGGGCTCCAGAGAGATGACTGCAGGAACTGCTGGTTTTGTGGGGGGGTCACACCCCTCCAGGGAAAGGGCTCTCTGCAGCACTGTACAAACCTCAGGGGGAGCTATTGCCCCACTAGACTGAGGCGAGTACGTGCCCAGGCTTTCTGTGACAACCGGCTTCTCCCTACCTAGCACCAGCCGTTTGGCTGAAACGGTTCCTTCTCTGAGCTAGCTTCCGCTCCTAGGTTTGTCTCAGCAAGTGGTGAGACTGCAGGTGATCACGCCCATACATAAACTCCAAGATTAGTTTAACACTTGGTTATCCAGGGCTTGACTCTCATCTGGGCTCTGCATTCCTAGGGGACAGTGAGGCCCCTGGGGAGGTGGCACGTGTGCGCACCCGGGAGCTGGGCAGAGAGAACCGTCGACTACAGGACTTGGCCACCCAGCTGCAAGAAAAGCACCATCGCATCTCACTGGAGGTGAGAATCAGGGGCTTTTGGATGCAGTTAGAATTTGGGCAGGGCTTGGGTTTGCCATCTAAGGATCTCAGGAAACCAAGCGACTTTCCATTGCCCCCAGTACTCTGAGCTCCAAGATAAAGTGACATCAACAGAGACCAAGGTCCTGGAGATGGAGACAACGGTGGAGGACCTGCAGTGGGACATCGAGAAGCTGCGCAAGCGGGAACAGAAGCTCAACAAGCACTTGGCAGAGGCCTTGGAGCAGGTGCGGGAGCGGGTGGAGCCAAAGCGGGTGCCTGGGGCCCTAGCTTCTGCCCCTCACATCCATTGTGTCTGTTTTCTCTTCAGCTCAACTCTGGCTACTATGTGTCTGGGAGCTCCTCAGGTTTTCAGGGAGGCCAGATCACACTTAGCATGCAGAAGGTGAGCATCTGCATTCCTCCCAGTTCTTAGCCCCTCAGTCCAGCCTTTGACATTCCCTAAGGGCGAACATCTGTAGCTGAGTCTGTTTCCTGAAATTGCTGCATAGTTTTCTTTCATTTATATACTTTATTAAATAATTCCAGAATTTAAATGCTAGGAACTAGGCAAATGGAAGAGGACGAATGAAAACCGGAGCTTTAGTTGTCTTTCTCTTGAGAGGCCGACGTGGATACTTGGGTGTGCTCTGTCCTCTTGATCACATCCTGCCTCGATGCTGGGCTTCAGTCTGGGTTTGCAATCCTTTTAGGTTTCGTGTCTTTGTTTTTGAGGCAGAGTCTCACGATGTAGGACAAACTGGCCTCAAACTCGATGTGTAGCTGAGGGTGACTGACTCTTCTACTTTTGTCTCCCGAGAGTTGAGATAATAGGCTTTGAACCACTGTACCCAGCTTCAAATCAGTTTGACAAACCCAACTCTGTTTCGTGTTGGGGAGCAATGAAGCTTCCATGGGAGTTAGGGTCTATTAGGGACAGCCTCCGTGTAATAAATAGTACATAAGTAGGTAATTAGAAGCATAAAGAAAAGAGGTACAAGAAAGATGTTCCCAGGCAGAACTGATTCCCTCCCGTTCCCTAGTGCCTTAGGAAAACCGTTGGCCTGGGGGTTTCTGCCAGTGCTGTGCACAGGGGAGCTTGGGAGGAGTGCACGGTGGACTTTTGGGGAACACCCTGCCCATCCTGGTCTTGCCTACCACAGCCCCTTCCACTCCTTAGTTTGAGATGTTGAACGCGGAGCTGGAAGAAAATCAGGAATTGGCCAATAGCCGCATGGCAGAACTAGAGAAGCTTCAGGCTGAGCTTCAGGGGGCTGTTCGGACCAACGAACGTCTGAAGGTAAGCTGGGGTCGGGACTGAAAGGGCGTGGACTGAGCCTCTGGTGCTGGGGCTAATACAACCCTGTTGGGCGACTTCTCCTCAGGTGGCCCTGCGGAGTCTTCCTGAGGAGGTAGTTCGAGAGACGGGGGAGTACCGCATGCTGCAGGCCCAGTTCTCACTCCTCTACAATGAGTCTTTGCAAGTGAAGACGCAGCTAGATGAGGCCCGGGGGCTGCTACTGGCCTCCAAGAACTCCCACTTGAGACACATCGAGCATATGGAGGTATGGTCTTGGGATGAGCGGCCTGGGGGTGAGAACTGACTTTTAGAGCCGAGACAGTCCCGAGCTCCATGTCTCCTTTGCACCTGCTAAGAGTCATTCAGGCATAGATTCTTCCCTGGCCAGAGGTGAGACTGAGGAATGGATATCTTCGTTTTTGTTCCAATTTTAGTCATTAGCTCTATTATTTTACAACGTATTTTTAAAAGTACCATTCTATCCACCGTCAGTGTTCTGTAAGACCGAGGCGAGACAACACTGAAATCACAGGACTGCTGAGATGAAACGGGATTTGAGCCCTTGCTGCTGAAGCATTACTTTTTTTCTTCCTTTCTTTTTTCTTTTTTCTTTTTGGTTTTTGAGATAGGGTTTCTCTGAGTAGCCCTGGCTGTCCTGGAACTTGCTCTATAGACCAGGCTGGCCTTGAACTCACAGAGATCCATCTGCCTCTGCCTCCCAAGTGCTGGGATTAAAGGTGTGCGCCACCACCGCCTGACTGAGTTACTGTTTCTTTAATAATCAGATATGAACTAACACAGACTAAAATACAAGCCCATTAAGACCATGCTGCTTTAGCGACTGTAGAAAGAAGCTGGGTTTGTTTTCTTTTTTCCACACATCTGGTTCTGGTAGCAAGTGGTATGCAGCCTGGACAGTTAGCTGTGGGCATTGGATCAGCCTCACACAGGAAAGAACTTGTTCTACACCTCTGCAGCACCGCTGCCTCCAGAAGCCAGTGTTAATGAGAAGGACGCTTTCTGGTAATGGTACTGTACAATTATTTGTCTCCAGTCAAGTTTTCCATTTTCTCTAAGAGAAGTGGTGGAGATGCACAGAAGGCTGCCGAGTGCAGGCTCCACTGCACGCGCTCCAGGTGCACAGCAGCAGCTCTGCATGGCCATGCGAATGAACACAGCACAGTTCTGTTTTCAGTCACACTGACTCTGGAAGGAATGGAGTGGATTTCCACAAAGAATATTAGTGCCAAAAATTTTAGGACTTGGAAAAAGGATTGCATACATGTATTAGTTCTTATTTAAAAAAACAAAAACAGCCAGGTGATAATGATGCACACCTTTAATCCCAGCACTCAGGAGGCAGAGGCAAGCAAATCTCTATGAATTCAAGGCCAGCCTGGTCTGCAAAGCAAGTTCCAGGACAGCCTGGGCTGTTATACAGAGAAACCATGTCTCGAAAATGCAAAAAATAACCAAAAAGAAAGCCAGACAAAAAAGCCAACCATGTTCTGTATGTATGTATATATGTATCTTTGTATCATTTAAAGTTCTTATATTTATGGGTGTTTGCCTGCATGTTCATCTGTGCACCACTTGTGTGTCTGGTGTCCGCTGAGGCCAGAAAGAGCATCAGATCCCCTGGAACTGGAGTTACAGATGGTTGTAAACCACCATGTGGGTCCTCTGTAAGAGCAGCCAGTGCTCTTAACAACTGAGCAATCTCCCCAGTGCCTCCTCCCTTTTCACAGTTTTATTCTTGAGTATAAGAGTTGTGCTTGCATATGTGCATGTGCAGCACGGTTTGCCTAGTGCCTGCAGAGACCAGAAGAGGGTGTTGTATCCCCTGGACTAGTGTTATAGAGGGTTATGATCTGACATATGAGGGCAGGTCCTCTGCATGAGTAGCAAGACCTCTTTAACCACTGACTGAGCCGTCTATCTATCGAGGTGTCTGTATGCAGTCTCGAGTGGCCTGGGACTCACTATATAGACTAGGCTGGCCTCTAGTGCAAGACACCCACAAGCCGTTGCTTCCCGAGTGTTGGGATTAGAGTCATACACCATGATGCTTGGTGTATTTATCTGTTGAACGTTCATTCACTGGAGCCCTTTTTCTCTGGAGACATGAGAAGATTAGATAATCAGTGTGAGCTTGTTCTTTTTTCTTTTTGAGACAGTGTTTCTCTGTGTATCCCTGGCTGTCCTGGAACTCGCTCTGTAGACCAGGCTGGCCTCAAACTCAGAGCTCTGCCTGCCTCTGCCTCCCAAGCACTGGGATTAAAAGCGTGCGCCATCACCATCTTGCAGCTTTATTTCTTTATAAGTAAAAATTAGGTCTCTTCACCAGTATGAGGGTAAGATTTTCATAGGGTTGTGTATCTTTACTGCCTCGACCAGAGTGATGAGCTGGGGCTGCAGAAGAAACTGCGCACCGAAGTTATCCAGTTGGAAGATACGCTGGCCCAGGTACGCAAGGAGTACGAGATGCTGCGCATTGAGTTTGAACAGAACCTTGCGGCCAACGAGCAGGCTGGTACGTGCTGGGAGTGGGTAGAGGTAAGCCTGGAAGGGTGCCAGAGCCTTCTAGCTGCTTATCCAGAACCAATAACTCGAACTTTTCTCAGAGCCTCAGTCCCCACAGAAAACAGGCACTGTACCAACTGTGTCATCCAGTGTCCTGAGCAGCCGGGGTGGTAGCTGAGCAGGTGCCACCCGACCGTGAGCGGTTTTGACCTCTATTCAAGAGATTCATCTCATAGATTTATTGAGTACTCCCTGTGAGCCACATTCAATTCTGGGTTTTTGGGGTTTGTTAATAAACAAAACAAAAAAATCTCTGCTGTTGTCAATGAGTCCAGTAGAGAGGTGATAGACAATGAAGGAAAAATCCGATTCTTATAAAAGTGAAGCAGGGACCCAGCATGATGCACACGCCTTGAATCCTAGTACTCAGGAGACAGAGGCAGGAGGATCTCTCTGAGTTCCAGGCCAGGCAGGATACAAAGGCAAAACACATAAAATAAAAATATTTTTTTAAAAAGTATTGTTCTGTCTTTGAGCTGGAGAGATGGCTCAGTGGTTAAGAACACTGACTATAGCCAGGCGGTGCACACCTTAAACCCAGCACCCGGGAGAAGAAGCAGGCAAATCTGTGAGGCCAGCCTGGTCTACAGAGCGAGTCCCAGGACAGCCAGGGGTACAGAGAACCCCGTCTCCAGAAATTTTTTTATTTTATTTTATTTTGGTTTTTTGAGATAGGGTTTCTCTGTGGTTTTGGAGCCTGTCCTGGAACTAGCTCTTGTAGACCAGGCTGGTCTCAAACTCACAGAGATCCTCCTGCCTCTGCCTCCCAAGTGCTGGGATTAAAGGCGTCAGAAAATTTTTTAAAAGGGGGAACTAATTGCTGTTCCAGAGGACCCAGATTTGATTCCAGTACCCACAATTCCCAGCGACCCAACACCCTTTTCTGGCTCTGGTTGTACTACACTGCACATACATGGTGCACAGACATACATGTAAGTAAGCTACCCATACACGTAAATTTTACAGATTTAAAAAGATTAATGTTTATGTGTATGAGTGTTTTGTTTGCGTGTCTGTGCACCTCATGCATGTGTGCCTGGTGCTCACAGAGGCCAGAGGCACCAGGTCACCTGGAACCGGAATTACCGACAATTGTGAGCTGCTGTGTGGGTGCTGGGAATTTAACCTGGGTCCTCTGGAAGAGCAGCCAATGCTCTTGACCGTTGAGCCATTTCTCCAGCCTCTCTGAGGCTTGATTTCCCATCTGTACAATGGAGTGTTGGCTCTGGCCCAGGTCCTCTCCCTTCGGGGAGCTGGAGAGTTGGGGGGTCCTACAGGCCTACTTCTGACGTTTTCAGGGCCCATCAACCGTGAGATGCGCCACCTGATCAGCAGTCTTCAGAACCACAATCACCAGCTGAAAGGGGATGCCCAGAGATACAAGCGGAAACTTCGAGAAGTACAGGCTGAGATCGGCAAAGTGAGGAGAGGGAGCTGCCTGGGAAAAGCTTTCACTAGACCTTAGTGAGCACTGGCTCACTGAGAGAAAAATTCTGATTTTTCTCTGTCTTTACAGCTCCGGGCCCAGGCCAGTGGCTCTTCCCATTGCATCCCCAACCTGAGCCACCCAGACGACCCTGGCCTCAATGCCCTAGCCCCAGGGAAAGAAGATGGTGGGCCAGGTCCCGGAGGTACCCCTGACAGCAAAAAGGAGACAGCTTCAGTACCTGGAACCGTCTCTGCTGCTGCTTCCGTGAAGAAGGAGGAGCTGGTCTCCTCTGAAGATGATGCCCAGGCCCAAGCCACTGGGACCCAGGGCTTGCCCTCCCGGGGCCGAGAACCCGAGGCCAGACCCAAGCGAGAACTTCGGGAACGGGAAGGGCCTGGCCTGGGGCCCCCACCTGTAGCCTCAGCTCTCTCCAGGGCTGATCGAGAAAAGGCCAAGGTGGAGGAAGCCAAGAGGAAAGAGTCAGAACTGCTCAAGGGTCTCCGAGCAGAGCTCAAGTGAGGACCTGTTGCTGTCTCCTCCCCGTCACGGTGCTTTCAGCGCATCTTACTAAGCTCCCTCCTGTACCCTTCCCTAGGAAGGCCCAAGAAAGCCAGAAGGAGATGAAGCTGCTGTTGGACATGTACAAGTCAGCGCCCAAGGAGCAGCGGGATAAGGTGCAGCTCATGGCAGCCGAGCGGAAGGCCAAGGCTGAGGTACGGACAGGTGGGGCACGCAGAGTCTCTCCCAGGGACTTCAGCGCCTTGGGTCAACAAGCTTGCTTCTTTTCTTATTCTCTCACCTTGCAAAGCAAGCTAGTAGTGATGTTGCTGTGCGGACCAGTGTTTGAGGGCTTCCCTCCTGTGGGTGCAGGTGGATGAGCTTCGGGGCCGCATCCGAGAACTGGAGGAAAGAGATCGAAGAGAGAGCAAGAAGATTGCGGATGAGGATGCCCTGCGGCGAATCCGGCAGGCGGAGGAGCAGATTGAACACCTGCAGCGCAAGCTGGGTGCCACCAAGCAGGTGACGTTCCCTGTGGTCTCCTCTCTTCTAAATCCTGGGATTCCCTTAATTCTCCATTATGTGCCTTTAGTGCATGACATTGTGATCGTCTGGGTACACACTATTTTCTTGGGAGTTAATCTGCCACTTGCCACCTTCCCTTCCCACTTGCAGGAGGAGGAGGCACTGCTGTCAGAGATGGATGTGACCGGGCAGGCTTTTGAAGACATGCAGGAGCAGAACGGGCGGCTGCTGCAGCAGCTGCGGGAAAAGGATGATGCCAACTTTAAGCTCATGTCAGAGCGGATCAAGGCCAACCAGATTCACAAGCTGCTCCGAGAGGAGAAGGATGAGTTGGGCGAGCAGGTTCTTGGCCTCAAGTCTCAGGTGGATGCCCAGCTGCTGACGGTGCAGAAGCTTGAGGAGAAGGAGCGGGCCCTGCAGGGCAGCCTTGGTGGTGTAGAGAAGGAGCTGACGTTGCGCAGCCAGGCCCTGGAGCTTAATAAGAGGAAGGTAAGACGGGGCCTTTGGGCTTGGCAGCTTGTGCGATCGGTTCATGTGATTCCCCGGCTCTGCTTGGCAATCGTGACATGGGTGACCCAGGGTGAAGCCTGGCTCTGCTTTCTGAATAGCTCACAGCTCACAAGTATATGTTTACTGTGTATCGGGCCTTGTACTCAGTACTTGACATGATTGCATGCGCGCGCGCACACCACTCTCCCATAAGGGTGGAATCGCATGCGCGCGCGCACACACACCACTCTCCCATAAGGGTGGAGTTGAGGGACGGATTGTCATCGGGATGCCTTCTTAGTGCTTCTCTGCCTTGGTTTTGAAGCAGGGTCTCTCATTGAACTTGGTGCTTTCCATTGTAGCTAGGCAAGCTGGCTAGCGTGTGAATCCCTGGGCTCTGCCTATCTCCATGGAATTACAGGCATGCACTCGGTTTTTACATGGATCGTCTGGGAATCGAGTTCAGGTCCTTATGTCTCCATTGCCCTCATTTCACCCACTAAGCCAACTCCCCAGCTTCTTTTGGTCCTGTTTTAAACTCAACAGTAATCCTATCAGAGTGGTTTTTCTTTGTGGGAAGTTGTTTTTGTTTTTAATTTCTGTGTATGTCTGTGTGCATGTGTGTTCAGGAGACCAGACGATAGTGTTGGATCTGCTAGATAAGAGTTGGTTATAAAAAAAAAAAAAAAAGAGTTGGTTATAGACAGGTGTAAGCTGCCATGTGGGTGCTGGGAACCAAACTTGGGGCCTCTGCAAGAGCAGCAAGCTCTTTTACTCAGTAATCCTCTTTAGCCCAACCAGAATTATTTGTTACCCTGTCTCCTAACTGAGGGAGTTCAGGAAAAAACAACACTGGAATTGAGATCCACATCAGGATGGTGATGGCAAGGCTAGGACCACTCCTGTGGACATGCGAATGGCTCTAACCCTGATGACCCCAATTGGATCCCTGGGATCTGCTTGGTAGAAGGAGAGAACTAACTCTCAAAAGTTGCCCTCTGAATTCCACAGGTGTGGCATGCCGTGTATACCCACACACACATACCCAGTAAAGTCATTAAAAAACAATTGCGGTCAAGGCCAGCCAGGGCTGTTACACAGAAAAACCCAATCTCAAAAACTAAGTAAATAATCAAATAAGTAAAATGTAGAGGTCATTGGGTAACTGTCAAATAGAGATGGTGGTTGCTACTATGTAGTCATTTTCTGTTCTTTTTAAATGTGGTTCTGGGAATCAAACTCAGATCCTCTGCCTGCGAGCCCTTCCCAAGCTAAGGCATCTGTTCAGCCAGCCCTGTAGTGCTTTCTTGATAGTTTGCTTGTTTTTATTTTCTCACTGTGTGGACTATGATAGAATTGAACTCTGTGTGTGTGTTTGTCTTGAGATGGGGGCTTTCTATTTAACCCCTGCTGTCCTGGAACTCATGTAGAACAAGCCTCTGGCCTCAGACTCGCAGAGCTCTGCTTCCTGAGTACTGAGCACAAAGACACACACCACCACCACCAGTTTTTTTAGATTTTCTTATTTTTATTTTATACATATCAGTATTTTGCCTGCTTGTATGTCTTTGTGCCTGGTGCCCTTAAGAGGCCAGAAGAGGGCATCATGTATCCTTGATCTGATCTGGAGTTAGAGATGGCTGTGAACCACTGTGTGGGCGCTGGGAACTGAGACCAGGTCCCCTGCCAGAACTGCAAGTGTTCTTAACCACTGAGTCCAGGTTGAACTCTTGATCCTCATCGTCCTGCCTCAGGCTCCCAGGTGCTGAGAGTGCAGGTTTTCCATTACACATAAGAGCACTGGGCTGACGCTGTAATCAGTGAGTGGACTGTGGTCGTAGCACACACAGGCTCTGGGCTCAGTTTCTAGCGCTGTATAAACTGAGCGTGATGCTCTATAAAATGTGGCCTATAAGCCCAGCACTGGAAAGGTCAGCAGGAGGATCGAGAAGTTCAAGGTCATCCTCAGCTACAGAACACATCTGAGGCCAGCAAGCCTTGGAATATTTAGAGACCTTGTTTGAAAAGTGGGTGGAGGGAAAAGGGATTGAGATAGAGGATTAACTGGAGAGAAACTCAGCCTTAAGATGGCTGCTTTTTCAGAGGATCTGGGTTCAATTCTCAGTACCCATGTGGCAGCTCACAACTGTCTGTAACTCCAACTCCAGGGATTCCACCACCCCTACACACAGGCAAAACACCAGTACACATAAAATAGAAATAAATTATTTAAGAGAGAATAAAAAAAGACAAAGGATTAGCATTGGTATTAACTATTAACAATAGGATTAACTATTGGTATTCTGGTGAATCGATTCATGTAAAAATGATTTTTTTCTTTTATTATGTATACAAGGTTCTGTTTGCATGTATGCCTATAGTAGCAGAGGGCACCAGATCTCACTACAGATAATTGTGAGCCACCATGTTGCTGCTGGAAATTGAACTCAGGACCTCTGGAAGAATAAGCAGTGTGCTCTTAACCCCTGAACCATCTCTCCAGCCTGTGAACAGGATTTTATTTTCTTAAATATTTATTTATTTATTATGTATACAATATTCTGTCTGTATGCCTGAAGGCCAGAAGAGGGCACCAGACCTCTTTACAGATGGTTGTGAGCCACCATGTGGTTGCTGGGAATTGAACTCAGGACCTTTGGAAGAGCAGGCAATGCTCTTAACCTCTGAGCCATCTCTCCAGCCCTGTAAACAGGATTTTTATGTCCCAATTACATGCTAGGCTTTATGCTGAGACAGAATCTCTCTATGTTGTTAGTCCTGGCTGTTGTTGAGCTCGCTCTATAGACCAGGTTGACCTTTAAATTTTGAGAACTTTGCCTCCCAAGCTCTGGGATTAAAGGCATGCACCGCCATACCAAACTCTTCCTTTTTTTTTTTTTTTTTTTAAATTATTTATTTATTATGTATACAACATTCTGCCTCCATGTATGCCCGCACACCAGAAGAGGGCGCCAGATCTCATCACAGATGGTCGTGAGCCACCATGTGGTTGCTGGGAATCGAACTCGGGACCTCCGGAAGAACAGTCTGTGCTCTTAACCACTGAGCCATCTCTCCAGCCCAAACTCTTCCTTTTTAAAACAAGTTCTTACTGTATTCCATGCTCTCCTTGAGCTCTCAGTGATCCTCCTGCCTTAGCCCCCGAACTGCTGGAATAACAAATACATGCCACTACACTCGGTGCAGTTTGAGGAAGGAAGCTAGGGCTGTGTGAACAAATACTAGTGCTCCTTGGGGACACGATGTTAGAGCTGCATCCCAAGGGAGGGTGAGTGTGTTAGAGTCGTCGATAGCAACGGAGAGAAGAGCCTGTTGAAGGCCACTGTGGGCAGTAAGGAGCTGCGGGTCAGCTCCAGTGCAGATGTCCACGTGATGTTTGACAGAAGCACTCATGAACTGTAGACCCCAGGCTTGGGCATACAGTCCTCCCCTTCCTCTCCTGCCCACCTCAGGCTGTAGAAGCAGCCCAGTTGGCTGAGGACCTGAAGGTGCAGTTGGAGCACGTGCAGACTCGACTGCGAGAGATCCAGCCATGCCTGGCCGAGAGCCGGGCCGCCCGGGAGAAAGAGAGCTTCAATCTCAAGAGGGCTCAGGTATGTGCCCAGGGAGGGCGAGTGGGTTCCCGGTGCGGGAGGCATATAGGCATGCAGTTTCTTAGCCTGCACTCTGCTGCTCTAGGAGGACATTTCCCGGCTGCGGCGCAAACTAGAGAAACAGAGGAAGGTGGAGGTTTATGCGGATGCTGATGAGATCCTGCAGGAGGAGATCAAGGAGTACAAGGTGGGATGTGGTGATGGCTGGCGAGAGTTGGGTAGTCTCTGGGGCTCGAAAATAAGGTAGGACAGCAGAAGACACTAACTGTGGAGCCAGACAAGTGGCCGAGCATTGGTTGTATGTATGCAGTGTAGTGGGGAGGGATCATACCCTGACCCCACAGTTAACTGACAGTGACAGGGAGGTCGGAGGCAGGTAAGAACCCAAGGGGAGTCTCCAGAGTAGCCCTGGCGGGGGGACTGTCACCCAGAGTTGACCCAAAGCTAGGATGGGGCTGAGAGAGCTTCTGTGAAAGGAAAGACCCCAAGCAGAGCCTTGTGGTTGGAGCAGAGGTCAGTGTCCAGCAGCGGAGCCTAGAGGCAGCCTTGGAGCCTGTAAGCAGAGTAGGGGTTCTGTTTGTCAAGTCTGGGGAGGTGGAGGACCATTGTGCGGCCGAGGATTAGACCTAGGGCCTTCCACAGGCTGAGCTCATGTGTCACCATTAAGCCACATCCTCAACGCCCTCAAAGGTCTTTATTCAAGAGAGTGGTCAGGTGTGGGGCTAACAGCAGCTACATGGGGTGGGGGTGGGGCAGGGGAGTTGTTGGAGCAGTGTGCTCACTGGGTCAGGAATGAACACTTGGCTAAGGAAGGCACCAGAGACGGAGATCTGCTAAGCCAGCACTTAGGACTCAGGGATGGGTCATGTGTCTAGAATGAAGGAAGAGGGACCTCAGGGAGGCTCGAATTCCGGATAGTGAAACTAGGTAGACAGCACTCTTCAGTGGATTAGGAACAGGTTGTGGGATGGTTTCAGAGAGGTGAGAACACTATGCCTCTTGGCCCTCGTGGGGGCTGGGAAAGCACCCAGGCAGAGGCTGGGCTGGAGAGCAGTGATCTCTGTGGGGCTGCAGCTGCAGCAGAGTCGGAAGCCACGCAGGCCTCTGGCTGCCCTTTGAGGAAGAACAGGGGACATTCTTCTCTGTTTGGGAATCTCAGGCAGAAGTAATGTTGAAGGGTGGGGAGAAAGTGGCCATGGGAGGGAGCAGGTGAGGAAGAAAAAGGAACTGAGCCGTGTGCAGCCCCGAGGGCTTGATGGACTTGGGTGGAACAAGGGTGTCAGACCACCTGAACTCTGGGCCACCAAGTGGAGGAGGTGACAGAGTCAGCAACAAGGTATCCCTTTGTAGCCGGTGGGCATTGGGGGTGGGGGTGGGGAAGAGTAGCCAGGGCAGCCTTGAAAGGCTTTCTGGTGCTGGTGCAGAGTCCTGAGAGACTGAGAAATAGTCATCTGAGGAAGTGGAGCTCGCTAGCCGGGATTCCAGACAGACCAGACACATGCCCCACAGTGCGGACACCAGGTAGTGACTGGCTGGAGCGGAAGGCGAGTTACAGGGAGGCATTAGGCTAAGAGATGGTCCATCCACAGCAGGATCTTGGGGGTCACACCAGGGTAGGTCTAACTGAGTGTAGAAGTAGTTTCTCATATTGTACCGCATTCAGCAGTGACTTCGGGGTAGACCAGTAGGGATTGTGCCTGAAAAAGCAGATAGAGCAAGAGATGGAAGAGCTGAGCCTGGGTCCTGTCCTTAGGAAGCCAGCTGCTCTGGGGATTGCTAATGTGGTTTGTTTTCTGTTTGGGATTTTTGTTTTTGATTGGTTGGTTGGTTGGTTGGTTGGTTGGTTGGTTTTGTCTTGTGTTCGAAGCAGGGTTTTGGCCAGGCTGACCTAGAAACTGCAGCTCTGCTCTGGCCTTGGTCCCCCTTCTTTGAATGTTTGGCCTCTGAGCCTGTCTCCTCCTTCATACTGTACTGGCTCCCACCTTCAGGAATTCTGGTCAGAATTAGAAGCAGCTGCCACTGGGTGGACTTAGCCTGGAGCGTGGGCACTGCCGGAGCTGCTCTAACCTGCTGCCTCTGTTTGCTCCAGGCACGCTTGACCTGCCCCTGCTGCAACACCCGCAAGAAGGATGCAGTGCTGACCAAGTGCTTCCATGTATTCTGCTTCGAGTGCGTGCGTGGCCGCTATGAGGCCCGCCAGAGGAAGTGTCCCAAGTGCAACGCGGCCTTTGGTGCCCATGACTTCCACCGTGTATACATCAGCTGAACCTGAAACTCAGGGGACTTTGAAAAACCGTATACCCTAGGGGCTGTGCCCCCCAGCTCCCTGCTCCTCCAGAGGCAGTGGCCCCAGCCTCCTTTCTAGACTCCATGAGCTCAGCCCCTATATACCTAGATGGTTTGGGGCTACTGGTGCATGCAGGAAAGGTGGGGTGCCATCTTTTCCAGAAAATCAGATCTGCAGCCTAGGGCACTCTCCCAACATCCAACTGTGGCCTTGGGAGCTGGCCTAACCCTGTTTCTGCTGGGGAGAGAGACCCATCCTTACCCCTAAAGGGGAATTAATCCTCCACTAGGAAAGGGCTTATTGCCTGCATACACAACCTCAGTGACGACCAGGGACCCTTTGCTTGGCATTGGGGCCCAGGGCCCAGGAGCCTTTCTTCACCTAGGTGGCTCCAGGCCCAGGCAGGGCTTTAGCCTTCCTGTGGAGCTTTTGTGCTGAAGAACGCGCAGCCTTGGGTGTCTGCCCTATTCAGGGACGCTCGCAGTTACGGACACTGCCTCCTCATAGCGCTGATTCAGGGTCATCCATTTCTTTATCCAGACACGTCCCAACCCTCTTACTTCCTCCCCTGAGCACCTGGCCCTCGCCCTGCTTTCATCCTGGTTGGTGGTCCTATGTGGAGGTGCAGCTGGCCAGGAGGGAAGGGACAATCTAGCACTTCCAGTCATTCCAGGTAGAGAATTGGCCTTCTGCTCTGTGGCTAGCCTGTACTCAGATGCCCCCTGCGGTACCTGCCTACACAGAGTCAACAGTGAAGACAGGACCCGGCGGAGCTGGGAGCCGGCGCCGCAGAGAGCTACAGGATCTTGTGGACTCACAGCCTCTGTTCTAGAGGTGTTGTGTATGGGCTGCTAATTGTTACGAATAAATATCCAACCGTAGGCTGCAGAGTAGCCAGTCCACTTGTCTACACATAAATCTAGGTGCTACACCTGGCTGGCATTTCCCTGGGTTGATGTAGATCTGGGGTTGGGAGCTGGGCACATCTGAGAACCCACTCCAGCCCACCCAACAACTGTGTGGGCCCCACTGAACAGTGGCCAGCTTATCTGCAGAGACCTGTTTCAAAGGGAAACCCGAGCCAGCTCTCACAGGGGAAGCCTTTGGTTAAGGGTTGGCCACGCCCTTAGCGGTCATTGGGCGTTCCAGATAACAGCTTTTGGGTTGCATCTTGGGAGATGTAGTCCCTTACCTCGCAGGGCAAAGTGCTGGCCAAAGACAAATGAATCTTTGGGTCTGTTACTTGCCGTCTTTACCCACCCCTACTCTGTGAACGCACAGACCACGACACCTCTGCACGGTGATTTTTCATTGTATCCTGCTCCGGCCACTATCTGGACCCTTGGAACCCATTTGCCCGAACGTGGAGTGTTGCTTCTGGATTCAAAGCGCTGCCGGCTCCTCCGGTGGAGCTTTCATAGGACTAGCGCCGTGGCCGGTGCTAAGCGGGGTTGTGGGTGTGGGAGCGGCAGTCATAACCATGGTAGTGGCCTCAGGCTTAGCGGTGGCAGTGCCCTCTCGCGGCTCTTCGGCCTTTTCTGCCGGTTTGCCTTCGTGAGGACTTCGGGCCCTTTCTGTTTTCTGACCCCACCTGGTTTCAGTGGGGTCGCAGTGGCTAAACCAAGTTGGACTGGAGACAGAAATGCGGGCCACGGTGACCTCTGGTGTGGAGGTGGCAGCGATGGGAACGCTGGCGGAAGCACGAGTCGCGGCAGGGGATGACATTGGGCCACCAAGAGAGCCACCCCGACTGCAGTGGTTAAGGTGGGAAAGGTGGGAGGAACGCAGGGTATTGCATCATAGAGCCACAGCCTCCTGAGCTAGTAGAACTAGTGTCCGAGAGCCCCGTGCGCCAGCTCATCACCAGCTCTCCAGCACGATCCTAAGCCACGGCCATATGGACTCCTTAAGTACGTGCACACTGTTCCCTTAGATGCAAGTCCTCTATGAGGTATTCAAACCTCCACGTGGGGTGGTAACCTCTAACAGTAGAAAGTAGAGCAAACCACTTCAGATTCAAAGAGAATGGGCTAAAGGTTCCGGATCCCAGTGCCTGGAGCAGTATTGCCACCTTAGCAGGGCAGTGAAAACAAACTATCAGTCTGTCACATGGGTGCAGGATCTGTCTTAAATGGCTGATAAGCTTTCTTTGTTGTCGGGGTCACGGCTAGGTGAGCCAGACTCTTCCCCCTTCCAACTTCTGGCAAGCTGGAGGTAAAGGTTGCCCCAGCATGTGATGGGACTTCTCCAGAACTTACCCCAGGCTTGCCTCGTGGTCACTGCCCTCTGAGCTCTTCCTTCAGCCATAACCAGACTTCCCTTGGCACTGAGCCTTTCCATGAGGTGTTTACCAAGGATCAAGACTACAGGTGAGCTGCTGATACCCAACCCCGGCAGGTCTTTCCCAAGCACCAGACCCGAAAATCGATGTTTAAAAGAGCATGAGTGATCTCATGACTCAGTCTCTTGCAACACTGACCTTCCTCAGGCTTTGGCCTGTGCCCTGGCTGCATCTCCATCGCTCCCTTATGCTCTGATGCACTGCCTCTCCACCTTCCTAACACTGTGACCCTGGAATACACTTCCTCATGCTGTAGTGACCCCAACCATAAAACTATTTTCATTGCTATTTCATAACTAATTTTGCTGTTATGAATCATGACATAATTATCTGTGTTTTTCAGTGGTCACAGTGACCCCCGTGAATAGGTTGTTGTACTCCCAAAGAAGTCATAACCCACATGTTAAGACTGCTTCTCTAAGTTGGTCCCCAACTGTTTGACTCCTCTAACTCCACCTCACTCCTGACTTCTATACAGAGAATCCCCTATTCCTGAGACCCCTATACCCTGGAGTTCCTCCAAGTGTGGCAGGCATGACCTTGGGCTTTTAAATCAGTTGGTGTCCCTTGCCCAACTGAGGATTCTCCCAGGACAGAGAACAGTCTTGATATTCCTTAGTGTTCCCAGGGCTGGGGACCCAGGGACATGAAAAAGCAAGTCCCCCTTACCAGCCCACCCACCAATTCCAGGAACAGAAAGGAAGAGAGAGAGAGAGAGAGAACGAACTTATGAACTTATTCTGGGATGTGGGCTAGAAGCACAGTAATACCCAAGGGAAGTCTATGGACATGCCTCAGGTGTAAGAGCTCTGGCTGCTCTCTCAGAGGACTTGGGTTCAATTCCCAACACCCACATGGTGGCTCACAACCATCTGTAACTCTAGTTGCAGGGGATCTGTCCCCCTCTTCTGGACTTTGCAGGCACTGCATGCGCATGGATGCTCAAACATGCAAATAAAACACCATGCATATCAAGATTCTTTTTAATTTAAAAAAAAAAGTCAGGGCCACACCTTTCTGTCTCCAGCAAGTGTCTTTAACAGACAGGCAGAGACAGGCTGTGGCCAGTGTTGGTCACAGGCAGCCACAGGGGCCATGAACAGACTCAGAAGACAGCGCTGAAGGCAGCCTGGCACTGAGAACTTCCTTACAGTCATCCCCACTGCCTTAGCCAAGGAGAGGAGTAATGGCTGGTGTGGAGGTGGCCTGCAGGCCTCTAGGCCACTCTGACTTCCCACATGACATACTGTGGGTCTTGGGTGACTGCACTTCCAGAGCATCAGTCTCTCCCATGGGAGAACCTATAGGCTATCCCCAGGGGACCACTCACTTCAGAGAGGACAGGCCACAGGATTCAAAGGAACCCAGAGAGGTAACCGGCAGCTCTGAGAACTAGGTTAGGTCCTGGGGAGGCTGCAGTACTGGGCCACCAGGCAGCCATCCGGCTGACCAAAGTGTTCTCAATCTCTCAGGATATGGATTCTTAAAGCTCCGTGAACATGTCAATCTTCCACAAGCAAACACTGAACATTTTTGGGGTCCTCATGGGCCCTCGTTCTGGAGAGGACAAGTTCTGATGAGCTTGCTGTTGGCGGAACACGTAGGAAGGAATAAGAGAAGACGCCCGGGAATCTCGCTCCCTTTATTCTCTCCAACTACTGAACAGACTGGGGACACAACACTGACTGACACACAACACTCTAAACGGGGACCTCCCCTCACTCCAGAGGGAGAAGGCAAGGGAGGTCAGATGGTTTCAAGTCCTCTCCCCGATTATGATTCATACCCAGTTCCTTTATGAGTTCTTATTTGACCCCACATTCATCATCAGTTCTAAGTTTTCCCTAAGTGCAGGTCAGCTCCACCCTCTCCCATGCTTGGACTCTGCCCACAGCTGCTGGGCTCTTCCCAGGGGCTCTTCTGAGGGCTCTGGCCCAGGATGGAGCTGGCTCCACTATGCCTCCCATACTCAGTTCTGGCGGACCTCTTCCTGAGCCAGCTAGAAGGACGCCGGGCCCTGCAACAGATTCCTCTGTGGCGTAGCAGGGTGTGAGAAGGAGGTGGCCAGAGCCCACGAGGGCTCTGCTCTGCCCTTTTCCTGCTAGGAAGCCCGGCACCACCTATGCACATGGTCCATTCAGTACTGGAGTGGAGACCACAGCCCTCGCTTGTCTCCAGAACATGTGAGCATCCTGTCCCACATGCTACATCTCAGTCCTCAACACTCTAGTTAGCCATGACTATGCTGAGCGCCTGCCCCGTCTTCTGATGACAGACTCTCAGGCCTGGGTCAGAGGGAGCCTGCTCCTACTTTTACAAAGGATAACTCTAGTTTCTGCTACCACCTTAGAAGGGGACAAATCAGCTTATACTTAGGAGAGTATCTACTCCATTTTATAGGGATGCCCTTTTATCAATATTTCTGTCACTATCAGGCAGGCTCCTACCCATCTCATGGTGCTTCCCCCGACCTGATACTTGGGACCCTAGCAAGGCTCTCTCTGTAACTGTGTAAGGCCTGCCCTTTCTCTCTCCCCAGGAGGACTGGCATTTTTCTCCCAGCATTCTAGATTTTGGTCCTTTAAATTTTGAGGGTCATCTATCTGGGCACAGGAAAGATGAAGGATGATCGGCCTCTACCTTTTGAACTTTTAGTTTAGGTAATGGAATGAGATGTCTCTTCCTCAGCACTGGAGGGATCCAGCTCACTCGTGGATCCTAGAGCTCACAGGACTCCTAGAGCCAATCATGTGGTGTCTCACCTCCTACTCTGGACAATGTGTCGCTAACGCCAGCACTGGGTAAGGACACTCTCTTTGCAACCAAAATACAGGGGAGAGTCCTTACCATCCTTAAGGGTCTTCATTACAGATGTTTCTCGCCAAAGGTTTTCTTCAACTACTTTATAGGGCAACTGTCTCTGCTCCATCACGGAGCTCCAGTCATGTGAGCAGGCTTGGCTGGATGAATGGTCTAGCCTGTGCTATCTGAGGAGGAGATGGGCCTGGCAGAGGACCATGTCTCCTCCTTTAATTTCCCTCCAGTGGTTTCTGGCTAAGGAGAGAAAGGCCAAAAGGTGGAATCTGTCCCTTCCCCGAGCCAGGATCAAATTTGCCACCCCATCTCAAGGGCATCCAGGTACTGGGGTTGAGAAGGTGGTCAAGTTTCCATTGCCTCTTCGGGAACTCTGGTCCAGTCTGTGCCACGTGTCCATCCGCCATGTGCAGCCTGGCTCACCCTGCAGGCAGCCTTACACAGAGTTCACACGAAAGGCTGAGGTTTGACTCTTGTTGCTGGTAAGTCAGAGCTGCCTGTTCTGTTGTCTTGCCGTCCCTCGTCACCAGAGAGCCCACAAGTGGCTCTCTCTCATGAACTTGTAGAAGTCCAGGGAGGACAAGCACATACAAGCCTTGAATCTCTGACGGAATTTATTCTTTGGAAGTTGACTAGCAGCGAGTGGCTCTCTCCACTGAGGACAGAATTTGAGGAAACGGGTTGCCACTGCAGTAAACCTTGTGGCAGTGAGCTTTCAGGTAAAACCTGTGAGACCTGAGAATGTGGCAGAGGCCCCCTGAAACCCCAGAGGCCTCTCAGAGTAGACATCCCCAGCTGGGCTGGGGAAAGGCTGGTCCTGCCTGTCTGAGGAGAACCCTGATGGCCTGAACTGGGATCTGCTTGCACTTGAAGCTTAACACGCTCCTAGGAGGAGGAACTGGCTAGCCTCCAGCTGCAGTTTCCCCACCGTGCTCTGCTTCCCTTCAAACAGACTTAACTTTCCCCCAATAGCTGGGGTGGTTTCTCAACATTTTCTCAATAGTCTTACACTCAAGGTTGCTTATACACCCCAAACTCCAGCCTTTAAAATGGCTTGTCATTTCTGGGGGGCTCTTATTAATAAGGAACCCCCACAGTCTTCCTTCCCCTAGTACATGCAATTCACCAAAGAACCTCTAGTGCAATGGATGTCTGGTCTCACCTGTGGGTCTGGAAGCGCCTAGTCATTCCCTCCCCACTTCTCTTCCCTCCTACTCTTCCCCGCTGAGCACTGCCTCTGTCCAAGGCTGCCAGGAGAGAATACAAGAGTCCAGGTGTTTCCTCCGCCATCCAGGGCACCTCCCAAGTCAGTGCCGACTGTATTCCCTACACCTCCCCCACCTAGAAGATTCTGAGAAGGATTTTAATACAGTTTTATGGGTTTGTCTAGAGACGTGTTAGAACCTCTTCCTACAATTAACAGGGCTTTTACCCACTATGGTTTATAGGGTTTCTCTGCTACAGACTTAAAGGGCTTTTTTCCTACATATGTATAGGGCTTCTAACCCAGCAGTTTTTCTCTACGGCTTATAAGTGGTCCCCACCCGCAATCTCATAGGCTTCTCACTGCTGACAGAAATGCACTATTTCTTCCCAGGGTTCTTGGCCCTCCACTTCTCTACGATCTGATGGGGTTGGTTTCCTTTCCCCACAATTTCTCAGGAGAGAGAGGTCCCTGGTCTCCAGACCTCTTCACAGGGAGACCCCTGGGTGACAGCTCCTGTGGAGGAGGAGCGTTGCGACTTCTGTAAAGCTGTCGCCACACTCAGGGCACAGATAGCGCTTCTCCTCTGACAGAGTTTTCGGACTGTCCTCTTCCCTGTGGTTGCTGCTCTTTGAGGGGGTAGAGGCCTCTCCCTCGTCTTCCTGGTTTGTGGATAAGGTGACTGACTCTGAAGTGGGGTCCTCAGGAGTGGGGGCCCTTTCTTGAGTGTGGGTTTCCTGGTGGCGGGTAAGAGCTAGCCGGTCGAGGAAGGAGGCCCCACAATCAGAGCAGCTGTAGGGTCTGGCCCCCAAGGGGCTCCTGAGATGTTCCAACAGCACTGAGGAGCTCTTCCCCAGCTCCGAGCTCTTCTGGGACTTCCCGCCCGCATGGACCTTCTGGTGCTGTAGCAACTCAGAGCTCAGGCCAAAGCTTTTTTTGCATTCTGGGCATTTGAAGGGCTTCCCACTTAGGAAGGAACTGGGCTCTGCCCCTTCCCCAAGGCCAATCCTACACTCGGGAAAGAAAAAGGGCTTTTCATTGCCGTGGGTGAGCTGATGCTGCAGGAGCACCGCCCTGTCGAGGAAGCTTTCTCCACAGTGGGGACATACATAGGACTTAGAGGACTGCGGACCCAGCTTTTGGCTGAAGCCCTCCTGACCCTCAGGCACTTTCAAGGACTGTCCTGGGGGGTCAGCTCTGCCTTCCGAAGCACCTGGATGTGAATTGCCCCCAAAGGGGAGCCTAGGGGAGCGGAACTGCGGAGGCTTGGGGGTCGGGTGTACTATGAGACCATCTGCATTTTTGTAGGGGTTTTCTCCGATATGAACCCGCTGGTGCTGCATGAAGATGCCCTCGTCATTGAAGCCCTTGCCACAGACCAGACACTTGTGGGGTTTGGCCCCCGGTGGCGGGGTCATCAGGGCAGGATCCCCAAGTCCTAGCAAGCTGTCACTCTGAGCTCTCCGGGCAGGTGTCTTGCCTCGCTCATGGATCACGCGGTGCTGCTCCAGCTCCTGAGCCTCCAGGAAGGCTTTGCCGCAGTCCGAGCACACGAAGAGGTTCTCGTCCATGTGTGTACGGACGTGCGTAATAAGGTTGGAGCTCTGGCTGAAGCTCTTGCCGCACTCGGGACACTTGTAGGGCTTCTCGCCCGTGTGCGTGCGGCGGTGCTGGATGAGGTGAGAGCTGCGAATGAAGCTCTTGCCACAGTCAGAGCACTTATAGGGCTTCTCGCCCGTGTGGATCCGCTGGTGGCGGATGAGAGTGGAGCTCATGATGAAGCTTTTGCCGCAGTCGGCACAGATATACGGCCGCTCCCCACGGTGGATGCGCTGGTGGTTGATGAGATTGGAGCTGACGCTGAAGCTCTTGCCGCACTCGGGGCACTTGTAGGGCCGCTCACCTGTGTGTGTGCGCTGGTGGCGCAGCAGCGTGGCACTCAGCGTGAAGGTCTTGCCACAGACAGGGCACTTGAAGGGGTCCTCGCGTAGGTGCGTCCGCTGGTGCTTGATGAGCGTGGAGCTGTGACCAAAGCTCTTGCCACACTCCAGGCACTCGTAGGGCTTCTCCCCCGTGTGAGTGCGCTGGTGCTGGGTCAGCTCTGAGCTCTGGATGAAGCTCTTGCCGCACTCGGTGCAGCGATATGGCTTCTCCCCTGCATGGATCTTCTGGTGCTTGAGCAGGTTGTGGTTCTGACCGAAGCGCTTGCCACATTCGGGGCACTTATAGGGCTTTTCGCCTGTGTGTGTGGCCTGGTGCTGGATGAGGTCGGAGCTGCGGTAGAAAGCGCGCCGGCATTCGCCGCACTTGTAGGGCTTCTCACCGGTGTGGGACCGCTGGTGCTTGATGAGGTTGGTGCTTTGTGTGAAGGCTTTCTCGCACTCCGTGCACTTGTAGGGCTTCTCGCCCGTGTGCGTGCGCTGGTGCTGGACCAGATTGGAGCTCCAGCTGAAGCACTTGCCACAGTCGGGGCACTTGTAGGGCTTTTCGCCCGTGTGTGTGCGCTGGTGCTGCACCAGGTGCGAGCTCTGGGTGAAGCTCTTGCCACACTCTGAGCACGTGTTGGGCCGCTCCCCCGTGTGGATGCGCTGGTGCCGGAGCAGTTTGGACCACTGGCTAAAGCTCTTGCCACACTCGTTGCAGATGTATGGCTTCTCGGCCCCAGAAGGGCGGCCCTGCACCAGTTCCCGTAGGCTGGGTTCGCTGGCAGCGACTACTGGGGTGCTGTTCCAGGAGGTGAGGGTTCCCCATTGCCAATTGGTTTCACAGGCCTTGGTCCACTCGGAGGGGGAAGGGACTACCTCAGGGGCTGATGGGTCCATAGGGGTCTGGTGGTCAAAGGGGTTGGAAGAAGCCAATGGGGCTGGGGAATCCTGAGGGGCTGAGGCATCCTGAGAGGGGTTCTCCAGGGGCATCTCTGGTGGGTCCTTGGATTCTGGGCTCTGCTCCGGATCTCCCAAGATGATCTCCTCCCCAGAACTTTCCTGCTGAGGGCCTTCCTCTTCATTGCCGCTCTCGGCACCTACAGACAGAAAGGGAGTCTCCAGCCCCAGCTCCTTTCAGAAGATGGGGTCTGGTCTCTCTTCCCTCCCCTGTGACTGCCCAGAGTTTGGACCCCTCCCTGAGCCAGGGTCACTGTCCCTTGTGCCCCTCACCTCCGTGAGCATTGTTCCGGCTCTCTTCAGGACCCTGCAGCTCTGGGCCCCACAGCACCGTCTCAGGCTCCATCCCAGAGCTCCCGACTGCGAAGGTTCCAGGGACTCTGGTGGAAGAGATGGACACACACTGCGACCTGGCTATCTGCTTTTCTTTGTGCTCCCACTTCTGTGACGCTCAGTGACCTGCCACTCATGTTTCTGGCACCCTCTCTCCCTGAGCCCCGTGGCCCCAGAGGCCTGGTTCCAAACACTGTAGATCTTAAGATCGCAATGAAGCAACTCAATGAATGTAAAGAGAGTCAATTAAAAACTCATCAGTCATAACCCTCTGTACCTAGATGGAAGGCTGGAGTTCTAACCAACATGGGGGGGGGGAGGTGCTTTCACACCACACATCCGATGCCCAGAGGCCTGGAACCGTGTTATTTTGCAAATCAGACAAAGCTCATTAAGACTCCAATTTTCTTCCTTTATGGGACTGCTAATTGAGACCAATAAACTTTTCCTTTATGAGCCCCACAGAGAACAACCAAGGCTTGCACTTTTTAAAGGGTTAAAAATAAAAGTTTCCCTGACTCACAAAGGCCAGGGCACTTTGCCATTACCTGAGCACACAAAGAGGGTCGCCTAGGGTAGGAGGGGGGGGGGTCTGAAGTCAGGGACTGGAAAGAGAGAGCAAAAGGGGCGCCTGGCTTGGTGACATACTTGGGGGAAAGAAACAGGAAAATCAGAAGTTCAAGGTCAGCAGCTACGGGAGATCTTGTCTCAAACAAGATGAGAAGGGGGTGGGGCGGAGGGAAGGAGGTGAGCAAGTATGAGAATGCTGGAAGGACAGGGTGACATGTCTGCCAGGTGTCATTATTTCTCTCACTGCCATGGAGACTCGGGAGTCACCTGTTCATTTTACAGATTAGTAGGGCAACACCGGGGGAGACGTCTCCAAGGCCCAGACTGGGAAGTAACAAAGCTAAAACCGCAAATGCAGTGTTCTGCTTGGCTTGCCCCTAGGTCTGCAAACATCGAGTGACCTTGACAGTCATAGGGGACTCAAACTTGTGGGCTACTGGCCGGAGTGTGAGCGGTTGGCAATGCTCTCCCCAAAGACCCACGGGGGACCCATCCTTCTGCTCTGTTCATTCTACCAGTGTTTCATCACGTGCTTAGGAAAGGTGCCCAGGAAAATCTTTGTTGAGTGACTGAATGACCTAGACACCCTTTGCTCATGGAAAACCTATTTGGTTCAATGTCTTTAACGATCAGTTTGTAAAGGGACATCAGAAAAGAAAAGCAACTCCAGCATGAGCCCCTGGGAAAGGAATCATCTGTCACTCTCAAAACCTCCGAAGATCTCCGGGAGATAGAACAGGGCCATAGGAGCAAAGTACAGGCGGGCACTCACATTTACTCATTTAACGGCCCTGGACCGGCCTAGACTTGGGGTGACAGTGGAGCCGGGGAGTCTGTGCACAGGGACAAAAGCTCCCCCGGAGCAGTTGCTCTGTGAAGCAGCTGAAGGAAGAAACAGCTTGCTAAGGAGCAGCAGCAGAAGCGTAAGTTAGAGGAAAGAAAGAAAATAAGTTTCATCTCCACTGTCTCCTCCGGTCTGTGTCTTTAGGGAAGGAAGATGGAGACCACAGGAAGCGCCTCCCCGGAGGGGAGAAAGGTCCTCCGCTGAGCGGACCGAGGACAGGTAGGAGCCGATGGACTTGGACTGCCTGAGAAACTTAGGCTCAGGGGCCTACCTTAGAAGGGAAAGGGTTAATGACAAGGCCACATGCAAGAAGTGGCAAAGACAGGGAGGCGAGAACTACTGGGAAGCAGCCCGGGCCCGAGAGCGCCAGCCTCCGGCCCGGGAGGGTCCCCCGAGGACCGAGGCGGGAAGGACGGCCCGAGGCGGCCGCCTACCCGCGGAGGTGCGCGCGGCCCAGGGTGACCCTGACAAGGAGGCAGCGGGACCGCCCTCGACGCCGCCCCCCGCACCCAGGCGGACCTGGACTTGAGCGCTTCTGGCCCGGAGCGCCGTCCCCGTCCCCGTCCCCGAAAGCCCGGCCGAGCCGCCAGCGTCCCCTCCCCGCCGCGGACGCCCAGGCTTCCCGGTTCCCGGCGAGCTGCCGCCGCCTCGCCGCCCCCGGCCGGACTCGCTCTCCGGGCGCGCACGCCTCCCCTCCCCCACGGCGGCCCTGGCGCAGTTCCCACCATCCCCCGGCCGCCGCCCCCACCGCCCCGGGCCCGGCCTGCGCCCCGCACCAGTCGCCGCCTCCTTGGCCCTATTGTTCCCCGGCGGCTGTCCCGGGCCTCAAGGCCACCCCGGGAACCCAGGCGGCCCCAACTCACGGCTCTGGGGTCTGGGAAAAGCCGGAAGACAGAGTCCAGCCCCAGGGGACTTAACCCCTTAAGTGCCCTGCCTCGGGGGACAGGCTGGTAGCCGAGCACTCTAGGGTCCTTCTCAAGGGGTGATTCCAGGCTGAGGACCCGGGGACCAGTTCAGGGTGACTGGGACGGAGCAGGAAGTGACCCCAGCTTCCCGGGCCCCTCTAGCCTGGAGTCAGAACATCAGCTCTATGGGATTTAACCCTTTGCCTCCCACAGTCTGGGAAAAGAATGGGGAGGGGGTACGGAAGCAAGGAGGTGATTGATGACACCCCTCTTCCCGTGTCTAGTGGGATCGCGCAAGATCAGCTTTTGGGGGAGTTCAGAGGCCGGCGAGGGTCTCCGGATATCTGGCCTTGCTCTCTCTCCAAAGGCTCTGCCAGCCGCCCAGTTAAACTGATCTCAGATTGGGCCGCGGCGGGTCCCCTGAGACCGGCCTTTGTTTGGACTCACCCAGGGCTGGGGCTGCTGTGCCTGAGTTGGTGACTAGGAGGTGGGAGCAAGGGTTGGGTGGGCAGGCCGGGACCAGCAATAAGAGCAGACGCTAACTAGCCTTAATTTAAGGCCAGGCAAGACTAGCCTGTGCTACGTGGTTCCACGCCCCCCTCCCCCGCGTGCCTCCACTACCCTCTGTCCCACTACCCTCTACCCCTACCGGTCCCCCTTACCCTTCCAGTTCTATCTCCTTATAGGAGGAAACCGAGGCCCTGGGTGGCAGCAGAAACCGGCAGTGTAGGTTCCCTGACCAACGTGGGCAAGCATTATTCTCTGCATCCCGGGTAAGGTACCCAATTCACAGCTGGGCAAACCTTCCAAAAACCTAGGAAGCCAGAAGTAGTTCCGAAAGCCTGGAATTCTATTGTTCGGGAGGCTGAAGCAGGAAGATCAGCGAGTTCGAAGTCGGCCTGGTCCCCATAGTTCCAGGCCAGTCAGGGCTAGTGACACCCTGGTTTCAAAACGACACAATGACCTCCCAGGTCCCAGGTCTGTGTCTCACAATTTCCCCACCACAGTCCCGGGGGAGAACTCTGAATCGTCCCTGTTTTATAGACAAGGCAATCAGGACGTGAGATATGAGATAAAATGTGTAAGTCAGCCTAGGTGTGAGGAGAGCAGCGCTGAACAAGAGTTGAACTTTCCACCCTCAAGAAGCTTAATAGTCGCCAGGCTGGGTGACACACACCCGTGGTCTCCAGCCCTTAGTAGGCTGAGGTAGGGGAATCAAGAGCTGAGTTCAAGGTCAGCCTGGGCTGCACGGTGGGTAAAGCCCAGCTCGAACTGTAACTAATCAAATAAATAAAAAGCTCCAAGCCCTGTGTGGGGTGCTGAGACAGGAGGATCACCGTAATTTAAGGCCAGTCTAGGCTCCACAGTGAGATGCTGATGTTAAAACACCAGGAATAAATACTGGCTTGTGATGGGTGAATAACATGTTCAACATTTCAAGACTGCTGTTCTGGGGGCTGAAGAGATGGCTCAGTGGTTAAGAGCACCACCTGCTCTTCCAAAGGTCCTGAGTTCAATTCCCAGCAACCACATGATGGCTCACAACCATCTGTAATGAGATCTGTGCCCTCTTCTGGCCTGCAGGCAGAGTACTGAGAATACTGTATACATAATAAATAAATAAATCTTAAAAAAAAAAAAAAAGACTGCCCTTCTTACAGCATCCACAAGAGACCGGCTTCAGCTTGTAAGCTGCTAGTTGGGGAAAGGGGCCCGGACTTCAGTCCTGCCCCAGAGGTGATGACTTCCCAGAAGAGCCAAGCTGATATTAAGAAACTGCCTCTCAGCCGGGCGGTGGTGGTGCACGCCTTTAATCCCAGCACTTGGGAGGCAGAGGCAGGCGGATCTCTGTGAGTTCAAGACCAGCCTGGTCTACAGAGCTAGTGTCAGGACAGGCTCCAAAGCCACAGAGAAACCCTGTCTCGAAAATAAAAAAAAAAAAAAAAAAAAAAAAGAAAGAAAGAAAGAAAGAAAAAAAGAAAGAAAAGAAAAGAAACTGCCTCTCTTGTTCTTGCAAGACAATGGGTCCTGGCAACTCACCACCGCTTGCTTGCTGGAGATAACTGAGGCACCTGTGGGGTGTCTGTTATAAAATTAGGCACTGCTCACACAAAGGCAGGATGTGAGCTTACGCTCTAACCCTGACCCCACCCCTCAAAAACGCTGCAACTTTGTGGGTTTTCCCATATAAACTCTGTGCTAATGTCTGATCTGGACCATAAGCAGAAAATTCCCAGTCTCTGCTGTGGTATTAAAGTCTCTTATTTGTTTAAAACACAAACATCTGGGCGGTGGTGGCGCACACCTTTGATCCCAGCAGAGGCCAGGTTGGTCTACAAAGCAAGTCCCAGGGCAGGTAGGGCTGTTACACAGAGAAACTCCGTCACAAAACAAAACAAAACCCTCAACAACAACAAATATAAAAGACTGGTGAATCTCTGAAAAAACCCAGACCCATAACAGACTGTGTTTGTGTGTGAGTGCATGTGTGTGTGCATGTGTGTGTGCATGTGTGTATACACACACGTGTACCATGCACAAAGAAATCATAAGAAAATGTGGAAAGGAACATCAGCCCAGGGTGGTAAAGGAAGATGAAGAATCTAACAACCCAAGCGTCAGAAATTGCAAGGGATGCCGTTCTCTGGGCAGCTAGTGTTTAGAGTGTGGCTTCAGGCTTCCCAGCGCAGGCTCCCTTAACACACTTTCCCTCCAGGGACTTCCCTAGCTTTCTCTGGTTCTAGTTCCCCTTAACTCCTCCCACACAATCAGACCCTTGCCCACCTTGGTCCCATACCTCTTGTTCCTCATATCCTGTGACAGGAAACTTAAACTTTGCTTCTCTTTCTACCTGTCGTCATACATGCATGCTGATGTCAACTCTGCTTGGGCAGGGCTTTGCCTTTGTGTTTACTGCAGTGTCCCCAGAGCCCACAACTGTAGCGTGTGCTCAATTTGTTGAACAGGCTGAGATAACTGGGCCCAGCCCTGGGGCAAGGAGAAACCCTGAGAGCAGCTGCTGGAGGTGCGGAGGTTTAATTAGTCCAGCGGTGCTTTTGTTTGTTTGCTTTCTGTTTTAGCTGCGTTAATTGCTATATTTAACAATCAGTACATAAAAGTCAGGTGTAAGCCCAGCAGTGGTGTCGCACACCTTTAATTCCAGCATTTGGGCGGCAGAGGCAGGTGGATCTCTGTGAGTCTGAGGCCAGCCTGGTCTACAAGAACTAGTTCTGGGACAGGCCCCAAAGCTACAGAGAAACCCTGTCTCAAAAAACCAAACCAAACCAAACCAAAAAAGCCAGGTGTAGTGCTTGCACAGGTAGTCTCAGCTAGATCAGGAAACTGAGGCAGGATGACCACTTGAGTCTAGAAATTTGAGATCAGTTTGGGCAACACAGTGAGAGAATCTCACAAGATTCACATCTGAATTCCCTGCTTCTCTGGAAAATCCAAAGACGTAACTGAGTGAAAATGAGGACATACCTGCTCCAAGTTATGGCTGAGGAGAGGGTTTACTGTAGATATGAGGGCGTGTACAGTCAGAGGCTTCCGAAAGAGTCCCAGAGCAGGGAGAGAAAGAAGTAGACTAAATATGGCCAGTAGACTAAACCAGGTCATGAGAGGTGAAAGGGGGGTGGAGAGCGAGAGAAAAAGAGAGAGGGAGACAAGAGATCAAAGAGAGATCCAAGAGGGGAAAGAACGTGTCACAGAAATGACAGGGTTATATAGGAAAGAGAGGCTGCGGGAAGGGAAGCCCCTGAGCTGGGAAGGTGTAGGGTGGGAGGCAGGTGAGAGAGGCAGAGAGGAGCCACAGGTGTTGAGCAAGTCTGGCAGCCAGCGTGCACTTTGCTACGCTACTGGGCACCGCAGACTTTTGTCCCTGGTTTCTTTGGGACCTGACAGTAACAATATATTTAACATTCTCACCTGTCATAAACTGTTGTCAGGCAGAAATGTCCTTACTTAGGTGTCCCAGCGTCACTCAGGCTGAGAGACAGTTTCACTAATAAATGCCCTTCCCCTATTGATTATAGAGGTGCTTTCTTTCATCGGTGTCCCCCACATTCAGAGTAAGAAATACAAGCTGGGGGGAGGGGTTGGAGAGGTGGCTCAGTTAAGAGCACTGGAAGTTACTCCAGAGGACCTGAGTTCAATTCCCAGTACCTACGTGGCAGCTTAAACTGCCTGTAACTCCACCTCCAGGGCATCTGACACCCTCGCAGAATACCAATGCACATGAAGCAAAAATAAATAAATCATTAAAAAAGAGAAATAAAGGGAGCTGGCATCCTCTGACATGTTATATTTTATTTATTTAGACTTTTGAAATAGGATCTCTTCGAGTAGCTCCGGTTGGCCTTCAACTATGTAGACCAGGCTGGCCTCGAAATCACGGAGACCCACCTACCTCTGCCGCCAGTGCTGCAATTAAAAGCGCATGCCACTAGGCCTGGCCGCAATTACGTTTGTTGAGTACGTACTGTGTGTTGGGACAGTGAACAACTGCTTGGACCTCCCCAACATAGGATTCCAACCTTCTTATCAGCCTGATAACAAAGCCACACTGCAGGGTTAGATTGCCGCTGTGGCTCTCAACCATCACTCCTGGGTGAGTTCAAGGGTGTCTGAACTAACACAGAGGCTAACGGTCCCTCCTCTCTCTCCTACTCTTTTTTTTTTTAAAGATTTATTTATTTATTATGTATACAATGTTCTGTCTGCACATGTCCCTGCAGGCCAGAAGTTGGCAACAGATCTTATTAGAGATGGTTGTGATCCACCATGTGGTTGCTGGGAATTGAACTCAGGACCTCTGGTAGAACAGTCAGTGCTCTTAACCGCTGAGCCATCTCTCCAGCCCTCTCTCCTACTCTTGATCCAGAAGCCAGAGCAAAGGCACTGGAGAGGGCAGGAAAACTCCATCAGGCCAAACCTTTCTCCAGGGGTAGTGGGGAAGGAGCGGTCCTGCTCCTAGGGAGGCAGGGGATGCACTGACCATATGCATGGGATGTCTTCTTGCCTGTGGGCAGCTGGTATGGTATCCATGTGACTGACCCTGGCTGGGGGACGATGGGAAGGGTGACGGTGGCCCATCCCCATGCCTTTTACAAACAAGCCATGTTTCAGAAATGCTCTTCCATCCTCCAGCAGGGCCCCTACATGCTGACAATCATGCCCCAAGTGTGAGGTTGCTGTGAGAGTCCAGCGGTTCTGGAGTGAACGTGGTCCATGCCTGTCCTCCAGGCCGTGGAATTAGTTTCCTTTCCCAGAAGAGGTCATCAGTTAACACTAGTTAGAGTTCACCAACCTTGGCCTGTAGGCAGGAGACCCGGGAGTCTCGAAACCACGTCTGGAGGACTTGGGGGGTCTACAATTGTATGCCCAAGCCCTCTGCTCTACAGAAACAGGCAGCATAGAGGGCAGGCCAAGAGTTCAGAGACTGGTGCCGTTTGACCCAACACTGCTGCCTCACTGCAAGGTGAGTGGTTTCCCAGGGTTTGAGAAATGGGGCCTCTGTCCTGGGATCTGTGTCTCAGTGAGATACGCTAGGGGCTTCTTTTCAATATAAGATGCTCAGATAAAGGACCTTCTATAGCCGAGACAGGGCTTTCAGCAATTTTAAAATCAGGAACCTGTAGTGGAGCTGGGTGTAATGGCTCGTGCTTCAGTCCCAACCCCGGAGGCAGAGGCAAGATGACCCTGGGAAGTCTGAGTTTAGCCTGGTGTGCGTAGTGAGCTCTGAGTCAGCCAGGGCTGCGTGGAAAGGTTGTCTCAGAAGAAGCCTGTAGTGGTTCGCGACCTGTTTACTCATTTCTACATCCCCAAGGCTTCCCCTTGTGTGTACTCCACCCCAGAAACCTCCTGTGCAGTGTAGTCAGCTAGCCAACCCCTGCTGCCTCCCAGACTTGCCCTTTGCTCCCCTGGCAACACCTGTCAGCCCTATTTCCCTATGCCAAACCCAGGCATTCTGCTGCCCCAGACCTGGGGTGCCTCCTTCTGGACTCCTCAGCTTGCCCACATTCGGGTCATCCTTGATGACTCTGCACCCCTCTTCCATCCTTTGTCCTAGCCACTGAAGCCCCCTCAGGACACTTCCACGTTCCATGATTATCAACAGAGGAAAATTCGGGTGGGGGAGTACCAGGCGCCAGACCAGAGGAAGAGCAAGCAGCTTTGGAACTCCTGGGATACAGGCTAGCTACCAGTCAGCACAAACACATTGGGTGGCCTTGAGAGGTGAGCCCAGGGGACCTCACGCTGTTTTTTTGAGCACAGCTCTGCTTAGTGCCCGCAGAGGTCACCACGTCCCTCACAATCTAAGAGTTGTGCGAAAACTCTAAAGGGGTTTCTAGCCCCTCGCTGGGCTGCGTTACTGGTACTTACCTGAATAGTGATGGACTTTTTCCAACCATTGCTGCTGGAGCAGATTCAGCCACCACCCTTAGGAAGAATTCAGAGATGGAAACCATTAGTAAATATGTTAAGATATCTTGTTAATGGCTTTGAAGTAGAAAATCTTGAGAAGCAGTTTAAAGTTT